TAGTATTGGTCTTGAGCGTAGTTCACCTAAACAAATAAATTAATAATTAAATATTTTTTTAATTTGAACTAAAACATGTCTTTTTTTAAACTTCAAGGTAATTAAAAAAAAAGAATAGTCAACACTCACCTTGGTGAGTATAAGACATTTGTGAACTAACAGTTCTTCTTTTTTTGCCAAAATAAAAGTACCTTCGATAACTTGGTACTATACATATGACCGATACAGAATTTACAACTGGTAACCAAATAACAGCATAAGTTACTACATAGCCAAGAAAAGGAATGTCAATTTTGAATAGCGATGCGAATATGACACACATTACTGGGCATGATAGTGATATAAAGGGTACACCGGCCTGAAAGGAATAATTTAAATTGAACTTTAAAATAAAAAAAAAGTTTTATCTTACTTAGCCCACATTGTTAACATCCTTCTTACTTTACCACCTCATTAACGTACTTGAATTAAAAGTATTTTAGTAAGCTGATTCTGGGTCTCCAATGTAGCACGTGACATTACATGTCGCACTTTCTTCAGTTGATTGTATATACTAATTCCACATGCTGTCACTATGATATATGACACACCTACCAGTAGAAAACTAATGGCAAAATGAATAAAGCCATTAAAAGTAGAACTGTCGGCAACAAAAAAGTTTGGTGTGTCTGGTTCCCAAATTGGGTCGGCTCTAAACATAAGGGGTTAAAAGTAATGTACGATGATATACTAGACAATGACTTAAAATTTTTTTTGCCTTTTCTTTCTTTATTTTAGCTGATGCACTAAAAGTTGTGGACAACTGCCTACAATAACTTTTTCAAACCTTACAACAAATACATATGTATAATTAAAAAATTTGTACTTACTTTAACATTGGTAAGTGAGATGCTACAACATCTTCATGAGGATAAAATGCAAAATAACCCCATGCACAATGTACTGAAGTAAAAAATAATATGCCTACATAGATTAGAATATACGTACTCATTGATATGTGACGGTTTCTAAAACAGCATTTTGTTATTGTACCTACTTAACTTTTTAGTAGTACATGTAATACTTATAATATAATGATGCATCAAACTAAGACTTAAAAAATAAGTTTTTGTGCCACATTTGTTACCTTATAGCATTGTTAAAATTATTTTTGTAAAAAATATAAAATAAACTCACAAGCAAAGAGCACAATAACGATACACAAACTGCATTGGCATGTTAATAACAGTAGAAAATATAGAGTTTAAAAATATCATCCATAATATACCCAAGCTTTGTATATCCATATGTTCGTATCGCCCACCAAACATAAAAAACATATTGCCACCTTTAATTTCTATTATCTAAACATACACAGTAAATCAATTTTATTAGCGTATTTTTGTTAATTTTTGGCTTTTATAGGCTTGGCTACTGTATTGACTGCAGCAATCACTGTGATAAAAACTGTAGTAAAATTGTAGTAATACATATATACCATAAAAACTCACCGGTGTAAAAATAATACTCAATAGATTGTAGATCAAATCGATCACACAAGACATGATCAATATTATACTGTAGCGCTTTATACAAGCATCACTCTTTTTTATAGCCAAAAATAGTAATATAGAGTTGGTAACAACTGATACGCTGCCAATAATATGTTCGTATTGTACATGAAAGTCACGCAGATGAGCACCAATTAATTGCATTTTTAATTTCTAAAAAATTATATAGATTAGAATATATGTTACAGTAACTACTTATTATAAACGTTACAACTCGCAAAAAAAAGCTATTGTCAGTGTAAACATAAAGCTGGGTAATCAATCTTTTGGTATAATAATGAGAAGTTAATATAATAAAGTAATAAAGAAGAAAAGTGGCTATGTTGTACTAAAATATTTTAAAAAAAACATAGTTGACAGTGTAGAGCGTACATGTACATTTTAATAAATATTTTAAACAAAAAAAAGAACAGCATTAATTAGCAAAAGACGAACCTAAACAGGTGCTACATAATACAATAATATCATTCATAATAAAATCGCCAAAAAACCAGAAATATCCAGCTTTTCATATCTTATACATAGAGTACAAATTCAAAAAGCAAACATACAAAGTCGAAGTACGAATATACCCTTTACTATAACCGGTTTAAAAAATCGAAAAGCATAATAAAGCAAGAGGCCAGAACCCCCGTACCACCAAAAAAATTGACACTTAGTAGCTAGCTAACTTAATTTTTGAACCTTCACCTCAAAACCAAAACCTCTGGTCCGGAAACTGAATATATCCTATTGTTTGTCTACACAGAGCTTATTGCAATTTCGTATTTATGTTCTTTTATTCGGAGTTGTCAACAACACGTCTAATAAACAGCCTAAAATTCAGACTCAAACAATTAGTTACAGTATATTATGCACGGATTTAAAAAGAGCAAAACTTCTGTATATCGAAAAAAACTTTTAATTCCGCAGTTAACACTGAGTAGTGCTTTTAAAATTCCTGTATACCGAAGATCTTTTGTAACTAACAAATTTAAAACCTAGAGCTACCCTTGAAGTTTTAAATTTGTCCGTTATACAAGAGTTATACTATCTATTTTGTATTGTTGCTCATAAATGTTACAGCTACTTCATTACCTATAATTTATATGCTATTTTATAAGATAAGTTTGTATTCCTCAAGTACTGTCTGAAAATATGCGTATATCTTACACTTAAGGCTTCACAGCAAGAGCATAGATCCAAATGTAATACAACATATATACCCTTCCACCTAGTAATAATTATCGTGATTTCTAAATAACAAAAAGTATACCCAATACACAAAAACAAAGCAATAAGTCAAAATATTTACTATAATATTACATAAAACACAATTAATCTAATATTTTCTTATAAAAACCTACAGTACGCTACTAGTCACAACATGATCGGAGTAAAGTGTGATACAATGTCTAAAAACAAAAAAAGTGTTAGCTTCTGAATCCTTATTTGTACCCTTTTTAATAATGACAATGAGTAAACAAGGCAATTTTGACACTTCCGTTCCGTAGGTGCAAACACGATTATTTCAAAAATACGAAATTTTGTAAATTTGACACATTGTACAATTTTAATTTTGAGTAATTTCCTACTTAGAGTGAATGTGCACCACTTTTGCAAAAAAAGAAAGAGTGTTATTACATAATATCTACAATATAAAGAAGTAAAAAAACCGTAATTAAATAAAACAGCCAACGCTTAAAAAGTACATACTTAAAAATCTCATTAAACTTGCAAGAGTAAAAACAGGAAAAAACAGTAAGAAAAGCTATAAAAAGCAAATTCAAGTAAAAATACAATTTTATTAGAACGCTTTTAATAGCTTTAGCACGTGGTTACTGTCATTCACAACTATGAGTCGAAAACAGCTTGAGCTGAGCCTACATTTAAGGCTCAGACACGGAACCCAAGATTTAAGCCCGACCAGTTTTTTATTTTTTTACAAGCCGGCTGAACCAAGCCTTGACAAAAAAAATTGTAGACTTTGCCTGTCCTGTCTCGTTTAAAAGAAATTTAATTTTAATCAAAAATAAAAAAAAATATTTAAAAATTTTGGGCACCGGCTCGATTTTTAAGTCTAGCCCGTTGACCAGACACAACTTCTAGATCCGGCCCGTTTCAACATTAACCCACTACCAGCTTGGCTTAGCTCGATCGTAGAGCCAAACTGAGCCAAGCTTACAAGTCCGTTTCTTGCTCCTACTTACAAGTGAGTCACAACACGGTATTAAAAAATTAAGTTGTTTTTGTTGTTAGGCAAAGTTAATACCTAAAAAAACATTGTCTTCTGTTGTTAATTAAACTGAAATGTCACACAGTTATTTGGCCCATTTTAACGTTTTTTTTTCTTTACTTCTTAGTTTAATTGTGTTAATTTACTGAAATTTGTCAGTAAAAACATAAAATGTCAACAGCTAGGTCACTGTTCACATTTATAAACAGTTATGTTACAGTTCACAGTTAGTACTATATTATGTCAATATAATATAATAATATTAATCAAAAATTAAAAAAAGTACACAAAAACATCATAAACGACCAGTAAATATTATAATAATACTATGTACTCATATATGTTTTTCAAAAATGCCATTTTTAAAAAACAAGTTATGGTACATTGTTAATAGCTATTAATAAAAAAGAATAATAGTATTATACCAAGCTCCACAAAGTAGCGCTTATTGTGTAATTCTGAAAAGTAATAACAACAAAACAATAAAAAAAAACTCTGACATTTTCAAATTAAACCCTAAATAGTCCATTCTATTTGTTAAAAGCATACTGTTGTCTGAATACGTGTAGGCATATTCGTATCCAAAAACTCTAGACATGAGCTATTACACGTTTTGTCAACTCAAGAAAAACCTGTCTTGTTATAGTCTAACTTGATACAAAATAATATTTTTGAGTGTTAAAAAAAAGTTTAGAAATAAGGCACCAAACGTACTTTTAAGACAATGTAAGACTATTTTTTTAAAACTAGTTGTCTTCTTACTCTAACAAAGAAAGGTCACCACAATAAAATGAATTGATGAAAAAGTGGTACATACAAGTTATAAGGGTACTTTTTATACTGTTTTGTTTATCAACCAACTTATTTGAAGTTTCCAAAATTTGTTTATACAGTCGAACTCCTGTGTAACGAATCGCTCAGGGACTTGAAGTTTGTTCGTTATAAAGGAGTTTCGTTATACAGGAGTTTTAAATGCACTGTGTAGTAGTAGATGGGGATTCAAAAGTTGTTTGTTATACAAGATTTTCGTTATAGAGGAGTTCGTTATACAGGAGTCCCACTGTAAAATGTAAAAACAAATGTGTGGTAAGCTGTCTGTATGGCGAATCGCACAAGAATTTACAATTTTTTTGTTATTAATGTGTTTATAAGGTTTGAAAACGTTTTAAATGAAATACAAATGCAAGTAGAATACTATAAAAGTACATTATAATAGTTATCCGTATTGTTGATAGTTATCTGTAACCTTCTTTTGTCGATTGTTTTACGTTCGCAAGGCCAATTCTGCGATTCTGAACATCATGGACATTGCAAAACGCTTTAACTAACCCAGCACCAAAGATCCATCTGTCTTTGACATCCGTGTTATTCTTTAGATTTAGTGTTGTTGGCAGACCGTCCGATTTAAACCTTTTTAACTCAGTATTAATAGCAAAATGGTCAAGAAAATTCTTGATGTCAAAAGTGTATGTGACATTATCAATGACTAAATCTATATCTAACTTTACATTATCCATTACCACGTAAGTATAAGGTGAATAAAAGGAATTGTAAAGATATGTAGCATATAACTTATCTACTAAGTGATCTACGACGTCTTGTGGAATGATCATACCATTAGAACCAGTGTCAGCACCAACCTAAAATTTAAAATATAGCTAATTGTTGTGACATTAAAATGCATTACTTCACTACAACATGTGTTACTACACATTATACAAAATTAAGCTTAACGTACTCATAATCACTTTAATTTGTTATTGGCTATATTTACTGTCTAATATGCTTTCTCTACATTTTTATAACAAATAAGAGTAAAATTTTTAAAACTCACGGTCACATTAAACCTTGTCATATTGCCAATCTTAACCGAATCGGCCACAAACTCCCAGTAACCACTATTTTCTTTGACGTCAATCCAGTTAGTAACCTTTTCACAATTGCTTGTGTCTTCACCTCCAAATACAATTCGACCTCCATTTTTACAATTGAAAATGCACTTTTTGTAGAAAATAGAAAAGATAAGTGATTCAGATTGTTGGGTTTGGAACAATTGTTGAGCAAAGTTACTTTGATTGTGTAAACTTAGACCTACTATGCCGGCATTTGGAAATATATTATTAGTGTAAAGTGCAGCGCCAAACGACAGTTCAAAATTCAAGGCATCTTTTACCTAAAAGTCTGTTAATATAAAGCCTGAGTTGAGGTAAGGAATCAGACACCTTTACAATTTATTAAAAATCGTATAACTTTTTGAATTACATTTACATAAACCTTTTCAATAAACATAGCATAATCATATCTTTTACAAAATGAAATGAAAGACTTGATGAAAGGTAACGGTACCAGTGGTTGTGCCCAACAAAATCAGTAAAATTGGCAGGCTTGTAAGTGCGATAAGGTGTATATGCATTGGGCTCGGTTAATGGTTCAAAATTAAAACATATACGACAATTATTGGCATGAATCCAAGTAAGATCTGATCCCGTATCAAAAATAAAGTCAAAAGTATCTGAAGACGAGCCAACAGCAAGCTCTCCTAAGTAAACGTTTTCTTTCACATGTAACGGTATTACTACAAGATCTGTAATCGAAAAAATAAATTAAACTGAAATTATCTTCCAAAATAAAAATTAAAATAAATTCTTTCAATTTGAATCTATGAATTATAAAAAACGTAAAAAAAGACCTAGTAGTACACGAAAACGTCTTCACTTACTTTCTTCTTTTACATTGTTATGTATTTGTAATTGCCAAATAAATACAAGAAAGATTAACAAAAAGTTTAGGTTAGCGCGCTTCATAGTTACTGAACAAAATCACAACTATTGGCAATAGAACATGCCACAGCGCATGAGACGCCAAATAAATACATTTATCCCGCTTTCATGAGCTAGCATTTATTTCGAAAAGATCAGAATAAATTCTTATGCGAGCCAAGTGTGATACTTTTTATGTCTATTTTTAATGTTGTAACATAACAAAAAAAAATAAATCAATGTAAAACTAAGCCTGGTTTTCTTGACCGTGCTGAACAGTAGTTCTATGTTCATCGTTACTTTGGGTTGAGCTAGGATCAATAAGGGTTGACAAACATTTCCGATGACAAAACAAATAACGTCGATAACTAGGTATTATCAAAATAGTTGATACTGAGTTCACAAGTGGCAACCATGTAGAGGCAAATATCACAATATAGCCCAGTACCGGCGCTTCGGCTTTGAGCAGTGCACAAACGAGTATTATTATGACTGGCAGTCCCATTGAAACAAAGGGTCCTAACGCCTGAAGTGACACTTTTTTAGATGTAGTTTAGCAAACAATTGGCATGATTATATATTATACTAAAATATTAATAATAGTAAAACAACTTAGAGGCACAGCTTTTTTATAGTCATATCGAACCAAAACTAAGTCTACCTCAATCAACATGACTTTTGTCAGTTGTGTCTGCATCATCAACGTTGACCTGGATAGAAATAACCGCATCTTATTCAAATGTTTGTAAGTTTTCCAACCCAATATTATTGAAATCACGTAGCAAATGGCAATTAGAGAAGATGATATACACATGCATATGAATCCTCTTCTTGTTGAAGGATCTAACACCAAAAATGTTGGCGTATCCACACCGAAAACCGGATCTTCTTTGTAATGAATGGCATTTTATTAAGAACTAGTACTCAATTCGTTATACATTCTTTGCAACTCTAATCTTTCTTTGCGAGACTTCAGTTGAGGCTTTGGTTTGAGGCTGGACTCTTAGGTTTACACGTGAAGTGCCTACTCGGGCCGTTTCGAAGTTGCTTTGGCTAGACCCCCTTTAATTCGGCCTATATTTAACAACATTGTAAACATCAAAGCTAAACAGAAAACGAGTTTAGAAATTAGGTTTTTTACATAATAACTCCTACCTCAACATTGGCAGATGAGTAGCCACAACATCATCGTACGAAAAACATGCATAAGCAGTAAATACGGAGTGAATGGCAAATATTATAGCACATAAGGTAAACATCAATAAATATTTTACGACGGAAATACGATATTCTCTAAATTTGCTCTTTTATCGTTAAAATTAGCCTTTTTAACGTGATAAAACAAAAAAATATTTGCAAACTTTTTTATAAATAAAAAAACTTCTTACGTGCAAAAAACCATGTATCGATACAGAAATTGCATTGGTATATTAAGAACGGAGCAATACAGGATGAAAATAAAGGCATTGAACATAACATCGACAACTATTGCATCATAGTGTTCGAAACGACCACCGAGGAAGAAGAACAAGTTGCCGTTTAGTAAGTGAGCCATCTAAATCATTGATACTAGTCGGTAATTTAAAAGGTAGATTAAGTGTAAGCCTTATTGATTAGGGGTTAGAAACGGTACACCTGGCCCGGCTCAGCCCGACTCTAAGACCAAGCCCGTCTTGGGCTGAGCTTGACTGAAAGTTAGGCCAAGCTCGCCAGCCGGGCTTGAGAAGTAGTATTGGACCAGCCGGCTTTGAGCTAAAGTTGAATCGGGTCAGACCTAAAAGATAAGTTTGGCCCGCGGGCCTACTTTTACGCTCAGCTAGGCCTACAATTTTTTTGAACAGGCTAAGCCTTGCCGGCTTAAAAAATGAAAATTTAAAAGTTGGGCTTTCACCCTACCTAAGTTCTTTCAAAAACACTTTTACTTTTAATTCTAAACCTACTGGTGTAAAAATAGCAAAAGTAACAGTATAAAACAACTCCACAACACAAGATACGCTGATAATCACATTGTACTGCTTCATGTTTTTGTTTTTATTAAAGAATGACACAAACAGTAGAATCAAGTTAGAAATGATAGAAAAAACGCTAAGAAAATGTACATAATTGACATGAAAATCTCTTAACGATGGGTCTAATAACATTTTTACTCTACTAAAGTTTATTATACCATGCTCAATTTATACACAACAGATGGTGGTAGTCTAGAAATATAAACATATGCCGTGTCTTTATAGTTAACTACAAAAAATACGTTTAACAAGACAAAATTGTCGCACAAATTAAGATTAGTTACAATTAGAAAAACTTTCGTTCTTGTAAAAGAAAGCTAGAAGTTATAAATTATTCCAATGCATACTTAATAGTAGGTAGGTATCATAAACTAATTTAACACAAGTCGTTGCTCAGCAATTAAAGTTTAATTAATGCGAAAGAGTAATTGTATATTGACTTATAACAACAAAAGATATAGCTTAGATCAAGTATAAATTTAAAATTAAAAAGTGATTGTAGAAATGTGTAAATATTAAGAGTTTAAAAGCGAAACCTTATTTAAAAACGTCACAAGATTGGCTAAAGAACAACTTATAATGGTCTAAACAACAAGGCATTAGACTAGACTAATTTTGCAACTTATTAAAAACGAATTAAACAAAGGAAAATTAGTTGCCAAACAACCTATTAAAAAATTTATAGCTTTTCAAGTTTTCTTGATTGCCTTGCCTTGCCTTTCCTTGCCCAGCCCAACTTAGCCCTATTAACCTACATCTTGCCTTGTCCGTAAAACAGAGTTAGATAAAGTAAAATTATTTTGAAGTTTTTGATTGCTTACTTATCATTTCAGTTATTTGCAATAATAATTTAAAAAATAATTAAACTTTTCAGAATATATTCAAAATTTGCAAGATAGTCTTTTGATGTCTCTAATAAACAAGTTGCATTATGTGTATTTAAACTCTATCGATTGAAATCTGACATTCAGCAAGAACGCATCACTAAGCAATATGCAAATTGCTTTTTTATTATTCTTTGGTAAAACAAAAAAGTTTGACGCCTGCGGAAACATTTTATTTTTGCTCTGATACGTGTGCCACAATTGTTAAATTTAAAAGTTTTTGATAAAATATGGGTATAAAGATATTTACTATAAACTGGACTTATTGGACGGGCAGTTCGGTTGGTAAGTGGATGTTACTATTATAATATTGACTTTTTAAACGTTTCTGAAAATTACTTTGAAGCAAATACTTTAGAAATAATATTTTTTTTAATTCTAGCGTTGCCAAAAGCATGTAATTTTAATAAAGTTTGAATAATAAGCTTAAAGTTGAATAATTATGCATTTTTAATATTACAATACCTATACCATAATCAAAAATGAAATTTACTAATTTCAGCGTTGGGTCACGTCACACACACAAAGAAAAAAGGGTGGAGAATATTCTGGATCTTGACTGCTTTAGCGTTTGCTGTCATTTTTATAATTCAATCAGTTCAAATCATAGAAGAGTATCTACAGTTTGGCAAAAGCACCTCGATTACGGTGAGAAATTTTTTTCAATTTTTTTAATAAAAAATATAGAAGTGTTGTTTTAGACCTACCCAAAATAACCTAAAACCACTGAAAATTTAAACTAAAAATTTTTAACTTGTAAGGCCCAAACCTACTTTTCAAGCCCTGAACACAACTCACCCCTTGTTTTAGATCTATTCAAGCAACACTGACAGCTTTCCGGCAGTAACAATATGCAACTTGAATCCGTATAAAAGTAGTACTATATCACAGGCTCCAGCTATGGATGATCTGGTAAGTCAACTAACACTTTATCATTGATATAACTGAAGCTGAGTGCTACGTATATTAAAACTGCTGTATAACGCACCTTCGTGTAAAAAACTCCTCTATAACAAAACTCGCATATACCAAACAACTCGTATTTTACCTTACAGCACCTTTTCAGGAAAATGCATATACAACCACAGTAAATCAAAAAATAGCAGCAGAAAGTGCAAACTCCTCAACATCAACAACAAAATCAGTACAAAAACGTGAAGCCTTTCCTGACGATGACCTTGTAGACGAACCCCTACTTTACAGATTTAAACGAGACACTTGTGACAATCAGACAGAGACGAGTACTGCCAATTCATCCATAACATATACAGTCAGTAGTTGTGTGAACGACACCAGCAGCACAAACTACTATATAGCCTTCATGACGTGTCCAAATGGCCAGGTCTACAATGTAACTGCCAGTAATGAGTTCACAAGTAGTTACCAGAGTCAATTCGATACTATTTATAACTCATGTGCTGAACAGTACATGTGTGGTCCTATTTGTAATTCTACTTCAAACTTGTTGGGAGTTATCACCAGTCTAGGCCATTGTGCTGTAGGTACGGGCAATTACCCAGTAGCTAGTGGTGATCCAGACCCTGTGGTAGCATTTGGGTATACAATAGCTGCCATATGTGGGTTTAGTAATGGTGGAGCAGCTTGTACTTCCGGGTTTGAAGCTGAGAGTGAAGGTACTGGCTATGTTACATATAGGACTTGTGATAAGGGAAATGGAATGAGTGTCTACACGATTCAGTTGGACAGTAAGAATCTTTTTGAAGTTTTGTTACCTATTTATTAAATTTTTTACAGTATTAAATATAACCCATAAAAGCCTAGCTCTTAGCCCTACATTAATATTTTCAGCCTGTGACAACACTGGTGATGAAACAATCCAATACAAGTACAATATCTACCCCACTGACTGTCCCAGTGCTGCCACAAACCTTACCAGTTCTTTCGAAAACGCTTACACTGAGTGGGTTTGTGCTGACAAATGCACTGACGACTGTCCTTACACTCTCGACAGTAGTGAGTGTGGTAACTCGGAGTACTATGATGAGTTATGTACCTTGGTATCTTGTGAAAACTTTACTACTACTCAGCCAACTACTTTCGTATCTACTACAGAGTTGACAACAATCATAACTACTGAAGAACCTACTACCGTAGTTACCACTGAAGATACGACAGTAGAAACGACCACTAAAGAAGATACTACAACAAAAGAAGATACCACAACAGAGTTAACTACTACAGTAACTCCAAGTACTACCGAAGAAACTACGACTACGGTAACTACAACTACTGAAGAAACAACCACTACTACTACTGTTACTACGACAACCGAAGAGACTACCACTACTAAAGCTACTACAACTACTGTAACTACAACTACAGAGCCTACCACAACTGCAACCACTACTACAACAACCACTAGTACGACTACAAGTACTACAACAACACCTAGTACAAAAAAAATTAGTACTACTACAGCATCAACAAGTACAATAACATCAACGACTACGACTAAGCTGACTACTACCCCTAGTACTATTAAAACTAGTACCAGTATTTCAACAAAAACCACCAAAACAACAAAATTAACTACTACTCCAACTATTAAAACATCTACTACAACTGTAACAACTAAAACAACTCCAAATACAACGAAAAAAACAACTACACACTTATCTTCAACCAGTCTTACAACAACTAAAACCACCACATTAACAACTAAAACTACATCAAAAGCAACTAGTACCACTACTAAACCTATTACAAAGTCGACAACTAAAACGTCAACTAAAACAACAACAACTACAACTAAGAAGCCAAGTACTACAACTAAAACTAGTACTAAAGCTACTACAACAAGTACAGTTAGACCTACAACAACCAAGACAAGTAGTAGTACTACTTCTACCACTACTCATACTACTAAAACAACTACCAAGGCTAGTACTAAGTCAAGTACAACAAAAAGACCGTCTACTGATACTACTAGTACTAGTACTACGAAAACTACAACCACTACGAAGGTAACTACTACAAAGCCTACTACAACATTGAGTACAACTAAAGCAACCACTTCAACCACAACTACTAAAACGATTAAAACAAGTACGACTAGTACTACGAGTAGCACCACAACTAAAACAACTGTAAGATCGACTGTTGACATTATTTCTACATTACCATCTAGCACTAAGACTAGTACTATTACTACTACGTTACCTACAAGTAAAACAAGTACTAGTACAACAACTAGTAAAACTTTGTTGACTAGCACACCTACTAGTACAACTTCTACTACTACAAAGCAATCAACCACTTTAGGAACCACGAGTACTAAAGCGTCTACTGTTACAACAACAGTAACTACAGCGGAAAGTGTGGTAACTACAACCATAAGCTCGTTGGACTTGGCCAAATTGTTTAATATAAAGGTATTGACATTAAGCATAAAAAAAATTTTTTTCTTCCCAAAAGGAAAAAGTGCCTAAAGTCCTGCCAGTTTAAAAGAATTTAAAAAAATAAAAAATCCAAATATCGACTATAAAGTAAAACTTACAGAGTAGTGACAGCCAAGTCACAATGACAGCCAACATGCAGGCTGGCATGGAAATTGTAGTTGCTGGGCTAAGCGATGCTGAACGAAATGCCATTGCTTATCAACTGCCTGAACTTATCAGCGTTTGTACCATCGGAGGACAACCTTGTGATATGGACAGGTAAGTTTTGGTCTTATATTCTAGTAACAGTAAAAAAATAATTTTTAGTATTATAATAAGTTGTTCAAATAAATTTGTGCTTCCTCTCAAAGCAAATTTTCGGGGTTAGGAAGCACAGAATTATTTGAACAGCCTAATAACTATAAATAAAAAGCTCGCTCCAACAAATGATAAAAACTTATAAAGTGAAGCAAGGATAAGGTAACAAAACAAGTATCAAAATGCGCGTCCGGACAACTGGGCCGATTCCAACTGGGCCGATTTACCAACTGGGCCGATTTGCCTTATAGTATGTCCGGGCTATATATTTCTAGTAATATTGTAGTAAACTGATCTTAAATACCACAGTAACGTCGTATTTACCTCAAAATATTTTTATATACCATAGTAAACGATGGTATGTTGGCAAAGCAATACTAAATACTTGTAAAATATAATAGTACCACATAATTTTGGTAACATATTACTATGTTAATGAATTGTAATGTACATCTTTATGATTTTACTACGTTTGTATACCATGGTAAATCATGGTATCTTGGTAAAAGTTGACTAAAACTTAATAAAATTTAAAAAGTTTCGCTAAAATTATTAACATAATACATTTATAATAATTTTTGACGTAAATTCTAATGATTTTACTACGGAATTTTAGCGAAACTTTTTGAATTTTATCAAGTTTTAGTCAACTTTTACCAAGATACCATGATTTACCATGGTATACAAACGTAGTAAAATCATAAAGATGTACATTACAATTCATTAACATAGTAATATGTTACCAAAATTATGTGGTACTATTATATTTTACAAGTATTTAGTATTGCTTTGCCAACATACCATCGTTTACTATGGTATATAAAAATATTTTGAGGTAAATACGACGTTACTGTGGTATTTAAGATCAGTTTACTACAATATTACTAGAAATATATAGCCCGGACATACTATAAGGCAAATCGGCCCAGTTGGTAAATCGGCCCAGTTGGAATCGGCCTAGTTGTCCAATTGGCCCAGTTATCCGTGCGCCTTTTTTATTTACTATTAAACATTTTTAGTGCTTTTACTTCAAAAATTTGTTGTTTTTGTTCATCATGACCTATTACATTATGGTATTTATTTCCAGAGACTTTTCCCAAGTGTTCGATGTCGACTTCGGATATTGTTATACCTTCAACTACATTGAGCCCTCTGGCTTCTACAATATCTCTCAAGTTGGCGCTGATTCGGGTCTTCGAATAATTGTGATGGTGGATGAGGATGAATACTTGGCATCAACAGAATATCAAGGAGCAAAGATCGACATTCATCCTCAAGATACCTTCCCATTTCCAAACCAAGAAGGATACTTTGCTGCTCCTGGACAGGGAGTGAATTATGTTATTCAGAGGGTGGGCTGAATAAAATTTTTGTTGAAATTTATTAAAAAACAAATAAAAAAAATTGAAATTTTGATTTTAAAATTTGTTTGAGATTTTGATAAGTTTGATATTTCCAGAGCTACTACTCTCGCCTGACCCACCCATATGGTGAATGTGATACAGTAGACACTATTAAAGCTAGAGGACAATCGTTCTTGTACAATGGTACTTATAGTACTGAAGGATGCTTGAGGTCTTGTTTTCAAGAGAAAGTTGTAGCATCTTGTGATTGCTACGATGCCAGGTTTCCTCAGATTAACGACACTGATGTCTGTACTCCACTGAATGCTACGAAATGTAATTTTCAATAATTTTAATGTTTTATACGTATTAACCTTCATTTTTATAGTTTACTATTCAATATAATACTGATTTTTAAAACTAATAGTTGTTGTATGGTGGTATTAGGTAGTCCAGGAATTAATGATCACTTTTGATGGCTTAACTTTAAAAAACTCTTAGAAATAAAGTTACAGCTTTAAAATATGTTTTCAGATCAATGTTACACTGATTACATAGCTGAAAATGGTGATTACAACTTTGTGACTTGTGACTGTTACGATCCGTGTGAAAACAATGCCTATTCGGCTGATTTATCTCAATTTAATTGGCCTTATGCCAACTTCTTCTACGATGCTGAATGTGGCAACTTCTCAACTCATAAGGAATGTCGGGATTATTATAAGTAAATATCTTTCTTCTTGTAATAGTTATTGTACCATAGGTGGCAACTGATCTAGTAGGGTCTTGAAATCAACGCTGGGACGTTTTTTGTGTTTGGTTTCTGAATTTATTAATTTTAAAGTTTAAAAACTGATTTAAGGTAGTTCGTGACCTAACTATAGCGAAAAACTGGGTTTATCTGAACCAAAGACTAATGCTTTTAATTGTCATTTATTTGCAGAAACAACACTATTATGATTCAAGTCTACTACACAAAATTTGGTTACGAAGGAGTTATAGAAAGCCCTAATGAAGACGTAAGGTCATTCTTAGAAAAACACTTCATAAAACTTAAATTTTTTGTTTTTTAAACCTACTGTGGCATTTTAAAAGTTTTTAAATAACTATTAAATTTTTATACAACTACTGTAATATTTTTTCAAATTTTTACATTTTCTCATTATAGTTGATGGACGCCTTGAGTACAATGTACGGAAACACCGGTTTATGGATAGGATGGTGTATAATAACAATTGGAGAATTTATTCTAGTAGTTCTCCAGTCATTTACTTGGATCTGTCGAACTAAAAACGAAATACCCGAAGTGCCAAGTTGTCGTCGAAGGAACTACCCAGAAGACGAAGCTGAAGAAGAGCCAGAAGCTGATGATAACACTGAGAATAGTAACTACTATTTGAATACGAATTCGGCCGACATGAGGAATATAATTGGATCGAAGAGGAAGGGGCTTAAGAACAGTGCTTTGAGCGGTGAGTACTGTAATATTGGGGTGTTTTATGGTATTTATTGTCTCTCAAATGATATAAAAGATATATTGTGCTATTATACGATGTATATATCTATTAACAGTCAGGTTAATACTATTTTTCGAAGTTTTTAAAATTTATAAGTGTGGTATCTTATAGAGCTTCGACAACGTCGTGCTCCAGAGCCAAATCCTTATAATAGTCTGCACGACTCATCGTATCATGAACCGGTTAATGTTGTATACCCAAGTGATATAACTCATCCTACTTTTGAGTAGAGTGTATTCTGTAATTTAATTGTTATGTATGTAGCTGTAAGTAGTTAAAGCTATAAAATATTACCTTACACATAAGCTATAACAATATCGACTTTGAAGGTATTCGTATATTGTGATAATACAAAAGCTTAGAAGCTATGATATGTTAATATAAATTCCAGTTTTACCTACTTATTCTACAGCTATTAGGACTACCTACCTACTCTCTACTGCTATAATGTCTCTCAAAAAAGGTAGTTGTGCTTCCAAATGGCCTTGCCTCCGACGCTAACAAAGTTACCAAGATTAAGATCACTGGCTGTTTGAGGCCTCACGCTTCGCTAAACTCTCGCGCGAGTTTAAAGCGCACGAGATTCTCGCGCATTGACCTCAAGCTTTCGATACTTTTGAGACGTCTACAAAACGCTGGAGGCTTTTTTTATTTTTAAAAGTTTCAAAAATGAAACCAATTTTTGGTTTTTAAATGTCTGTTTGTGATTATGTACATTACTTTTGGCATAAACTAAGTTAAATACAAGTAGTAAGGGATAGGCTGCGGCGTGAGAAACAGGCCGGGCTCACTTTTGAGGCCTAGCCAGAAAAATTCTAGGCCCGGCCCGTTTCAAATATGGCTCAAGGAAGGCTTGGCCCGATAGTAGAACCGGACTGAGCCTACCCGGCCTGTTTCTCACCCCTAGGTAGGCTAAAACAAGTTAGGGGCTTTTAAAGAATAAGGATTGGTATTTTGTCTTGTGAATAATATTATAGTAATCAGAAATGCATTTTTTTCAAAAAGCAGATGTGTTTTCCTGTGTCTTCCGGTAATTAAATTATCTGTCGGCGGTCGAATATAAGTAAAAATTTATTTTACTGTTTTTAGTGGTACTTTTTTGTAAAATTAATTTTTTTTTATTTTAGCCAACATATCATTTTAACTGAAGGGACATTTTTAAAAAAAATTTAAAAATTTTTTCTAACTTTCTCTTCTCTCTACCATTCTACTATAATACTTTCATAAAAGCCTAATGCTACGGCCAAATGCCAACTTTTTTAATTTAAAAATGGGTAGCAATGGCTGTAGATTAACGTAGTAGTAACTTTTTTCGATTAGTAACATTGTTTTACTCCAGCGCCTGTTTTGCTCATTCGGCTTTTATTTAAATTTGCGGAAGGGAAAACTTTTGCTCTTGTCTTCAGGGACTTGCCACTTTTATATAAAATGGCAGATCTTACAATTTTTGTTGTTTTAGAGTGTATTTTAAAATGAAAATGTGATTTTTTAAACTTTTTTATGATTTACGATGAACAACTTTGAATTCCCGAGCGATTCGTTATACAAAACTCCTACTGTAATTTTTTGTGAAATTAGATTAAAATTTAATATTTCGAGTAAAATCCATCCAATATTCCAAATCCTTGTGGAGATTAAACTTTGCGTTCAGATTTAAAATTAATGTTCTCAGCTGGTCATTCTGTTCCGACTCAATGTTCCGAAGATGACTAATTTTTTGCTGACCAGCCATGTGGGCGCTTTTTTTTGTTTTAGAAATGTATGGAGAAAAGAAGATAGTTGTAATTGTGCATACATAATTCTAGTAAAAGGGAATGGCATTTTACATATTTTTTGGATTAAAAATGTTATTAGGCTGTTCAAATATTTGTTTTTTTATAAATTTTTTGACATCTCCCAATCAAAATTACTCCTCCGGCTCTGCAAAGCTCTACCCTTATTATTAGTACTACAGTGATTTCTCTATATAGTGAAGCATCTGTATAAGCAACTCTTTTTATAGTAAACAAGAAATTTGGCCCCGCTATGTCAATTTGCACTAAAAAGTCTCTGTAAAGACAATACCCCTTATAGTAAACACAAAATGTCGGTTCCTTCGGGTTGCTTATATAGAGAGAGTACTGTATAATAACAAGCATTTCTTTATATTTTAGTCATAACCGTGATAAGATCTGCCTTTTTATTAATTATTCTTTGCGTTTTTATCAGTTTTATCATTGTTTTTGGAACGATGAAAGAAAGTGAAAGTGTTGTGATTTAATGTTGGCGCCAGATGGGTTTATTTTTCATTTATCAAGTAGTAGAATATGAACTTGTTTGTTGTTTACAACCTTATTTTTGGGTTTAAATTTGGAAAAAATGACATTTTAATGACTTTAAAAATTTTTTTTATATAAATTATTTGGTTTTAGTTTTTTAGTCTAAGCGGACTAATTCACAAAAATGTTTTCGGACAGATAACTTGGGAGTATCTATTACCAACTGTACTTATCTAGTACAAACTTTGCTATCTAGTGTCAGTTGTACCTAAAATTCAAAAATCAGCTCTAAACGCTGTACAATTGGAAGCCACCACCTCGAAACCAGTTTCTTTACTCCATTTAGTGGACAAAGACGTTTTTGGCCAATTTTCGTGAAGTAGAAAAGGATTTGGGCCCAAGAAACCCGCACTCTTTTTCTTAACTCCCTAAGGGCATTTTCTTTCACAAAATATGCGTTTTCGCGCCAAAGTCAACAAAATGTGCTGGAATTTAAGCGATTATACAACGTTTACTTGGCCGTTCCATGTTTGAGACTCGGAAGTGGGGTAAAATTTGTACTTTTAGGGGTAGGTTAAGGTAGTTTTTACTGTATGTTGAGGAAGATAAGGTTGGTATGGTTTTGGAAAAAACAGTAAAAGTTAAAATACTTTAAAATTTAAAGTGTTAGATGTTCTTACAGCTTTGTATAGAAAAATGGGCTTGTTTTCGAATTTGTTTTTACAATTGTGCAGGCAGAAACTTGTACTATTTGAAAAGAAAATACACTATTTTTCGTAAATAAACTGAGTTTTTAATGCTTTTTGTAAATTTTGAGGTTTTGTAGCTACTAGGGTTAAATAAAAAATCAAGTTGTATATTATGTGAACTTTATAGAGTTTATTTTGATAGAGGGGGTTGATGAACTTTAAAATGTTTGGGGTTCAATTACTTATGGCTGGTGGACAATGTACTACTTTCAAGAACTCTTTACTATTTTACTCTTGTTTTACCCTAATCTATTCAAGCCTTATCTAATCTTGTCCTAGCCTTACTATAGCCTTACCCTAACTCTGTTTTAACTGAGCTTTACTCTAGCCATATTTCAGCACTTCCTTAGCTCAACCCTAACCTTACTCTTGCTCTAGACCTAGCTGTACTCTAACCATACTCTATTCCTACCCTAGCCGTACCTTATCTTTACTCTAGCCGTCTTCTAGCCCTACTCTAGCGTTACCAAATTCTACCTTATCCTTATCCTAGACTTATCGAAGCCGTACTCTAGCCTTGTCTTATCCTTATGTTAGCTTAATCATATTTTATCCCCCTTCTTATATTTATTATATTTCTACCAACTCTAGCCTCTTCTTAGCAATAGCCTAACCTCACCATAGCTCTACCTTGATCCTACACTTTCATTATCTTCTAGCTTTTGTAAACGTTGATTTAATTGTTAACCTAGTACACCAAAAGGCGTATAAACACTATTTTTAAGCCGTCATTAAATTCTTCTATTGACAAGGCTTTACCATTTACCTTTACATTATGTTGTTTTTCAACCTCCAGGTACTAACGTCTTCCAAAACCCTTCCAAATGTAATCTTCGACCGCTTTTCCCTCCCGAACCCAACTCGATTTGCATTCACTCAATCCGCAAATGACCAATTGACAAAAGAAATTGTTTTTGCGGGATTTGCTTTGCTTTCAATGACCATTCCGGCTTTTGTTTTGTGTGCGACGACTGTTGGGGCGACAAGAGGGCGAAAAGTTTTGCGCGCAGAACGTTAGCCATTGTGCTACAGTTAATTGCGCTGTAATTACAATATTGTTTTTTCAACACCTTTTCAAGGAGGGCGGTTTAAATTACAGTTTGGAGAAGAAGGGGGGGGGGGGGGGGGGAGAAGGAGGTGTGAGTGTTGGCGAGGGGGATCCGGTAGGGCAGAGAGGGGGAAAACTATAAACATGGAATTACTTTTGGGGTGGTTTTCAAAAAAATATGGTAAATTATCGAAAGAAAATTTTTTTCATTTTCAGTGACTTGCCATGCCGGGCGGATGATTTTTTATGAAGGAACATAGCATGGGAGGGTGTGGATTAGACGTCAGGAACGGGTCGGGCCGGCCTTGAGCAAAATGTAGATTGGGCCGGGTCTCAAAGTTGGGCTGTTCCTAATGTTAAGGCGGATAAATTTTAAATTTTTAAGGCAGTTTCTCCCCTTCTCCTATCCTACTATTACGATTTTTAATAGTACAAAAACCCAAGAGTGCGGTGATGATTTTACGGTCGATTTGATGGTCATTCTTTTGTCATTTTTGTCTATAAACTGTAGTTGAACAGTTACGATATAATCGAGTGTTTTTTTGTCATTTCTGTACAATATAAACGGGATTTTAACTGTTGCTGCGGTCATAAATGATGACTTTTGTAACAGTCTACAATTTGATTCAAGCTATTATGTTATTATGACTTTACAAAGTTGATTTTGATCTTTAAGTTGATACTTATGACTGGAAGACAACGTACTACTTTTTAAAACTTTAACATTAGCTCTACCCTAGTCCTAACTAAGCTCTACTTTAGCTTTACTCTACCTCTACTCTAACGCTACTCTTGTCTTACTCTAGTTCTATCCTAACCCTCTTCTAGCACTATCCCATTCTAGTCCTACTCAAGCCCTACCCTAGATCATATTATTTACTATAATATGACAATAACTGTTCTATAAATCAAAAATGACTGCCACCAACTTGTTTTACACACCAATCAACCTATAATAACATGGTGACAAAATAATATGACCTTTGAAACTTCGCTACCCTCTGGCTTTTCGAATTTAACGCGCATTTTTTGAATCGTCTGACAGAATATTTTTTAGTCTCTGATTCTCTTTTTTGACGTCAAAATTAATTTACAAGGTTGTGAAACGGCGCTCTTTGATTATGATTTATTTGCAACGCCTACTCGAATAGACGATGACATAAGACATTGTAATAGTGTGATATTATAGTGGATGTGATGGGTTAATGATGATTTTGGTTGGAGAAGTAAGGAGTTGTTAGTAATGTTGCTTTTATACTAGGTTGTTCATATAATTAAGAGCCGTTTTTTAAAGCAAATTTTTGGAGCTAGAGCGCAGAATTATTTGAACGACCTAAATGCCTCTCATTCTCCCCTCTTTAAAGCTTCTAAACTCACCCTACTTTAGCCTTGAAACTTGTCATAACACATGACTTTAGTTCAACTTGTCAGTTTGCCCTGAGGGAAAAGTTGAAATCTCAAAAACTCAGGAGAATCTTTTTCGAATTTGTCTTTTTCTCTTGAAATTTAGCTGTTTTTGAGTTATAAACAGATAGTTTCTGCTCGGTTTGTTTAGAGCGCCGCTAATCCTCCGACTATGTTAGACATATATATGTGTATATATGGTCTTTATGTGAGCTGTAATGATGTATCGCTTTTTTTTGTTTTTAAAGTTTTAAGGATGTTTTTAAGGATTGGGGTTGTTTTTTGATGAGTGGGCATAGTTTAACTTTTAAGTTTTTTTATGATTGGGGGGGAAGACGTAGATTACAGTGTTTGGGGAGGGAGCGGGATTCTTTTTCAATTTTTTTTGAATTTAGGTTGTAGTACAGGGAAACCCCTTTAGAATGACTCTCCATAATATGAGATTCTCTTTATAATGACAGCTTCTTGACCGGCCTTTGTAATAAATGTAATAAGACCTATTACCTGGATAGTGTGATATCTTGTTTAAATGGCACTTTGGTCTAGTTTTTTGAGTGAGATGCTAAAGAGATTTAACTATAGTCTTCTTTATGAATTTTTTAAAAATTTTTTGGTAAAAAATCTTATTTATTGTACTCTCCTCCTCCCTTTACCTTTTTTTATCTGTTGACACTTGCTTAAAACTTTTTTGGTTTTAGTTTCTTCCAGCAGTAGTTATTCAAAAAAGTTTTATTTTTATTTTTGAAAGGGTTAGATTTAATAATATTTACTTTTTATCAAACATAAAAGATTGTTTACAAAAACAACACATAAAACAAACCATATTTGGACTTTTGTCACTATTTTTTGACTCATTTTTGAATTTCAAAACCTCTATCTATTCTTTCTTCCAGAAACAAACTTTACATTTACAAAAGGACCGCCTATTAGTGACACACTTTGTCTAGCCTTTAGAAAACATCTAAACTTAGTTGAAAACCTTTTGTAACCCCAACACCTGTAAGCCCTTTACTATAACAGGTACCTGTAAACCCTTCAATACTTGTAAGCCGTCTACTATACCATCGTTTGACCTTTTTTACTCACCGTTACCTTTGTTTACCCATTTTTCGTTCGCTCACATTTCAGCTGACTCATCGAACGTTAGGAATGGCCGCTGCTTTTTGGAATTCCTTCGCTAAAACACCCAACTTTTTTTTCTTTTTTTTTAATTTGATTTCATGCTAATCTGTTAATTTATGCACGTTTTACAACATAGTTTTGTTGTCTGATTCTAGCACTTTTAATAATTTTTTGTAATTTAAATTTGGGCAGGTTTTGGAGGGAGTTTTTGTGGATATGGGGTATAATTTAGACGGTTTTTGAAAATTTTTTTACAGTTTTGGCTACAGTGGGTCTGGAGGATAACTACTTTTTTTCTCAATGGGTTTGCTAATTTTTTAAATATTTATTGGTGATTATAAATACAGTTACACGAGACGATATTTATTTAATATTTAACTGTTATTGCCGTATACGATGTTAAAATTTATAACCAACATTCCAATATTGTCTATGTTTTAAATTCTGAATAATGTTGGCAATTACATATTATTTTAAATGCCATTTTAAATAATATTCATGTTGTATAAATATTAGGTTGTTCAAATAATTCTGTGTCTTTGACTCCAAAAATTTGCTTTGAGAAGAACCACAGCTTTATCTGAACATTCTAACATAAAAGATATCGTTATCACTTCAATGTCGCAGTAAAAATTAAATTTCAACCCTAAACGGTAGGTATAGCACCCTTTCTTAAAGGACCTGTAAACCCATGTAAAAGTTTTTTTATGTAAAAGCCTATTGTACCAACATAACAGTCCAACAATAAGTGTTCTATTTGAAGAACATTTGATAACAATAGCCAAGTTATTAGTCATAAAAGAACGTTTAAATAAACAAAGCTAGCTAATTTGAATGACTAATCAAATTCCATTCAAACAGAGGTCATTTCGGCTACTTCCGTCACAAGCTGTTTACCGTTCATGATACTACAATGTTAATTGACTAGTCTTCTGGAAGGGTTTGTAACATTTTTGGGTGAGAATTTGGTTTACAGTGTTCTTTGAAGTATTTTTGAAGCTTCTGGTTACCTATTCTTAGGACAGTGTTACATGGGTTATTTCGGCTTGTTTTAGGAGGGAGGGTAAAAAAATTTTTAAATTGTTTTATGGTTTTTTTAAAGTCAACTATTCAATTTTTTTCGAAAACTTTTTAAAAAAGTGATAAATGTTAACGTCTTCTAATATCAAGCGCTTGACGAGCCTGATCTGCTTCAGAAGCTCATGTCAGGTCTCTTTGTATCTTTGAAAATCTGTATGTATGTATACTCAAGACCATTTCACTCATCGTTTAACCTTACCTATTTCACGGAAATTAGAAGAGATTAAGATATTTCCTTCTCGTCGTGCCTTTTTAATTCAAATTTCAAGGCTACTCGGATTCACTTTTTGTGAAATTTTCTTAGAGTTTCAGTGGAAACATAAATCTGAGTTTCAGTAGCAAAATCAAAGCTTTTCTTGAAGTTTAAAACTTTTTTTGACTTAAAAACAGTAAATTTAAAAAATAGTACAATGACTTTTGAAAAGTTGTACGGCTTTGCAGCGTAGTATCTGATGTTCTACTACAATGTACCTTGAAATGACATTATTTTTTGAACTTTTTGATATTTTTTAAAAATATTTTGTGACTCAAATATTTTTGAAATTTCAATTCCGAGATTCAATGAAATTTTAATTTGTTTGCGATTGTTTCATGTTTGCGTTCAAACTGTTTTCACTCAATTTTTTGTTATAAGCGGCTCTTTGTCAAATGTTTAAATTCGGAGGAAATGTTTGATTATTCACACTTGCGAAGGCTGGTAATATAATTTGATAAATGGGGATGAGTTTGGTTTTATATTAAAGTTTTGGTAACCTTAAAGGTCATTACTCTACTATACCTTACCTTGTACTGTGGGTAGAGAAGCTAGTGTCATTTCTTAAAATGTTTTAGAATGTAATGTTACTGTTTCCGTTATATAGTTATAATAATTTAGATATTAAGTATAGACAATTTATAATATAAATAAAGTCATGCCTTAAATTGTTCACAAATTTTTTTAATTAAAAAAACAGTTTGAACCACTTAAGTTTAGTCAATTTTTTAGTGATAAGAAGTCAAGTTTTGATAACTATTTTTAAGAATTTCTTCCGTGAAAAGCTATCTATCAAATTTTATATAGTTATGGTCACAAGATAGTTAATTTTATGGGTCATTCACATACCTTATTGTGAAATGGCTGTGCGCCTTAGGGTGTTCACAATATTTTAAAATTTTGAGCTGTAATTCTTATCACACTTATTGGAAATTCACTTTAGATATCTTATATTTATTTTTTTACAATCTAAGATCACTTTTTAAACTATTTTTGTTTATTTTAACTAGTAAACCCCATAACTTTCCCTTTAAACCCCATTTTTGCATGCTCGATTAAAAGATACGACGATAGAGTAAGAACAGTCGGATGTTCTCTCTTTTTTGGAGCTCTATTACTTATAAAAAGCCTTTTTGAGTCTCCATGAACCATAAAATACCCAAATGTTTTTTGTCGGTTAATCACCGGTTCAAAGCCGGCTTCACCTCTCTTCGACTGACAAAGGGAAGGAAGCGAAAAGCTGTAATATAACTTTACATGACGGATATCATGCAAAGTCATAAAGGTCAAAGACTTCTTTTGGTGAGGGGTTTTGGAGTTTTACTACTGTTTTTTTAAAAAGTTTAAATTTTTGAAATTTAAATTAAAAAAAACTTTTTTGGAAAATTTTTAAGGTATGACGTTTTTAAAGATTAAACGTAATCTGCTTTCGTACAAAACGTCATTCTGGTAGAATTTAAAAAATTTTTTACAGTAGAAAACAAAAAGTTTATTTTATCACTTCTTGACATTCTCAAACATGAATAATATGCTTCATTATTCATTTTCCCATTGAATGTATATTATTTAATTTTGTGATGTGTTCATATTCTTTTACGCATATACAACTCTACACGATTTCTAAATTCTCCCTCTATTTGATACAAATTTTCTAAAAATCTTCATATTCAAATTTATCCGATAAATTCTGTGACATTTCGTCTAATTTGTGAGTTTTCGTTTTATCCGCGACCGAAATTAATTTTTCTCCCACGAGAAGTTGAATAATATCGTTTTTGATGGGTTTTAATTGTTTTCAGGGGTGCTTTTACCGTTTCAGCAGTTATCATGGTTAATATTGAGATTTCACAGGCTTTAGATCCATCTACATCGTTCGGCATCATGGAACGACAGCCCAGCTTGGATCGACCGCCCGATGACGAGATTCTGAATGCCTTCGAAGAGGTTTTGGTGAGCTATTTTTGTTTATGTTGTTGTACTTTAGGTTTTAAAAGGCGAAGATAAACAAAAAGTTTAAATTTGGTATATTACACTCAATAGTTTTTGTTATGGGTAATTTAGATGCTAGGGCAAGTAAAGTCACATATTGTTGTTCAAAACTTTGCTAAGGTATTTTAATTACTAAAAATTGATTTTGCTGGAGGTTAGTAGTTTATTATCATGTAAATTCTTTGAAAAATTCTTGGTTTCATTATATTACTCATTAAAACTGGACTTTTTCAATAAAAAGTTTGTATTTTTTATAAAAATATTGTTTGGATATTTGACGGACTAGAGTCTAATTTTGACAAAAGTTAGTTGACTTTGATCAAAGATTAGTCTTTTATGGACTTTAAATCAAAAACGATGCATCTCAATCTAAAACAATATAAAAAAGTAAATTGATTTGCAAAAATGGAATTTATGTGAAAGAATAAAACAAAGAGCATAAAAATTAATTGTATTTTATGAAGAATTTAGGTTTATAATTTAAAATGCAAAAACAAAAAGGTAAAATACGCTGTTTGGTTTAAAATCTCTCAAATTTAAAAAATTGACCAAAATTTTTAGGAAAGACGTATTTTACAACAAAATAATTACTCTAACATGTATATTTTTGTTTAAATTGTTTATATTTTAGTCCCAAATGGATCTGCAACCGGACAAAGTGAGGGATTTGAGGAAATGTGACATTCAGAAGAAGTGGAAGTTGGTCAGCGATCACAGGAAGATGTATCAAGTGGACGAGCCTTCTGTTTACTTAGATAAACTAAAGGTTTTGCTTGATAAAAAGGCTAGAAAGGTAAGGATTTGTTAATGAAGATGATAGTTTTGTGAAATTTATCAATTTAGTTATTTTTTTATAATTTAGGTAACAATTAAATTTTTTTGTTAAATTTTGTATATTATATATATTTACATTATTTATAAGGCGTAGATAAATGGTAGTTTTAGTTTATTTCAGGTCAATTTAGGTAATATTCGATTTAATTTCAGAAAAAGAAAGTTGGAGCATCTACAACTGATGTCTTAAAGCATATTGAGATCTCTTTGAGGACAAATTCCATTGATTGGGTTAAGGCCTTCCTGAATACTCCGAACAATGGTCTCACGGTGTTGGTCGAATATCTTATGGCACTTCAGGATGAAATTTTTAGTTCTTTTGAGTAAGTTTTATATTATTATTGTAACATTCATATATCGAATAGGGTTTTTAACTAAAAAAGTTTTTTTAAAAGCATTTTGCAGCATATAACGTTATGGAATGCTTAACCTATATCTATTTTTTGTTATATTTGGTATATTTTGTCATTAATTATCGAATTTTAGTGCCACAGAGTTAGAAGACGTACCTACATCATCATCAGCCTCCCATTCTTCTGGCGAACCTCTCAACGCGACTTCAGAAGACTACTTCAACGTAACTCCGATTTCTCAAAAGATTTTGAATTCGACTAGTCGATCAGCTAAAAGTTTTAGTTCAGCCTTATCAGCGACAAAGCAACCCAAATCAACGTCGAAGCTGGCTTCACAAGCATCGTTGGACTTGAGTTCCAGTCAGACGGATGATGTGCATGTGTTGGTTAGTTGTCTCAGAGCTATTATGAACAATTCTCATGGATTCAATCGGGTATTCTTCGAAGCCAACGCCATTTACTCGTTGGTCAGGAGCATTTTACACAATAACTTAAGGTAGGAGGGTGTTTTTGAGGTGGGGCATGGTTCTACATTTTTTAAATTTATAACTACATTTTAAGTGTTTAAAACTGGAAATTTTATATGTAAAATACGTTTTTCCTATTTTGAATTAAAATATATTACCTAAAATTAACAATGTTTATTTTTCAGGACCAAAGCTTCGGTGGTAGAGTTGTTATCAGCAATATGTTTAGTAGAAGGTGGACACGAGAAGGTGGTAGATGCTTTCAACAGATTCCGGTTAGAGTACAAAGAGATTCACAGGTTCAAATGCTTGATGTACTTGTTCCGAAACCCTCCTGAGTTTCATGTCGATTTCATGGCTGGTTGTATGCAGTTCATCAACGTCTTGGTTCATTCAGTCGAAGATGTTAACTATAGAGTCTATCTTCAGTTCGAATTCACGATTTTGGGGTTGGATGATTATTTGAAGGTAGGCTTTTGGATTTTGGGAATAATGTTGTAAATTATATTTTAAAAATAGAAAAAATATTTGAAAATTTCAAAAGCAGTATTTTAGTCACAGGCTCAGACAATATAAACTTGATTTAACTAACCTTTCAGGAACTAGAAGACAATGAAGCCGAACAGCTTCAAACTCAACGAAAAGCTTATTTGGACAACCGAGTGATAGTCGAAAAGTTAATGCAGGACTCAGATCAACTCCCCGACCTAAAGCAACGCATCGAAGCTATTCAGATTGATCTCTCCAACAAACGAGAAGAATATCAAAGGAACTTGGCTGATATCATGGAACAAAACAACAAACTCCTAAGTCAGGTATCTCGGTTGGGAGCTGAGAAAGAGCAACTACTCAGAGCTACTGAGGAAAAGGACAAAACGTTGACAACTTTGGAGAGGAAGTACTTTGAAACTAACAAAAAGTTGAACAAGGTCGAGAGTGATCTGAAGCTGGAGGTGGAGAAGGCGAGGAAGAAGATTGAGAGTAGGTTTAATCAGTCTGAGATGTCCTGGTCATAATTGTTGAGAGATTCATATTTTGAAAGAGTTTTCAGTCTAATAAAGTTAACATTGCTAATGGGATTTGTCTTATGGTACTTTCTTTTTGAAGATCTGGTTCTTGTTCATTCAATTTAGTTTTTTGATTATTGAATGTTGTTTTTGACGATCTCAAGACATCTTAATGTTTACACTTTCATTTTTCAGATGAGCTTTCCCAAGCAGCGACACGCCGTTCCCAATCTCGTGACAAGGCTGTTGGAACAAGTCCAAAAACACCGAATCCACCCGTACAACAAACAAAGTCCATCGAAAAAAGTGAAGATACACCAGACAAAGTTGAGGAAGCTCCAAAGAAGGCAACAGCTCCACCACCACCCCCGCCTCCCCCTCTCCCCGGATTCCTTAATCCAGCCAACGTGAAAAAACCCCCAGCTGGAGGCCCACCACCCCCTCCGCCACCTCCACCACCAGGCATGAAAATGGGACCACCTCCTCCACCCGGAGGTCCTCCAGGACCCCCACCACCTCCATTCGGCATGAATAACAAGAGTTTCCCTCAAATGACAGCTCAGCCTCAGAAGAAGGTGGCGAAGATCAATGCGAAGCTACCGGCTTTGAATTGGACTGCCATGCCTTCTAGGGTGATCAAGGACACGATCTTCAATGAGTTGGACGACGAGAAGTTGGCTGATGTGAGTTTGAACAATTGGCATTTATGTTCTTAGTTTGAATGATATTGAGTAGAAGAACTTTTTTTTTTGAAAATGTTATTTAATTTGATTTTTTGAACTTGAAAAGTTTAAAAATATTTATAACAATCTTTCTTTCCAGACCTTGAATCTCGAGTTTCTCGAACAAATGTTTGGAGAAGATCAACAGCACAAAGATGATGACAAACTTCATCCTAACGGCCCACCGTCACCTTCGTCTGTAGCCTCTTCAACACCATCCAATGTTGGCCAAACTATCCTGGATGCGAAACGACTTCAGAATATTGCAATCACACGTCGACGACTCGGTAAAACGATCGTCCAGGTCATGGGAGCCATTCATAGACTCGACCTCAAAGCTTTGACCTTTGACGAAGTGGATATCTTGCTGAGAATCATGGTGAATGACGACGAAATCAAGCTCTTCAATCAGTTCGCGTCCGAAAACGATGGCATTGATAAGCTATCACTGGACGAACAGTTTGTCTGGAAACTTCACAACATTGAACGGGTAACAACCAAGCTGAAGTTGATGGCATTCATGTCCGAGTACGAAGATACCATGAAGAGGATCGAACCGGAGCTATCCAAGGTTACAATGGCTTCGAAGTCGGTTATCGAATCTCAGAAGTTCAGACAAGTTTTGGAGGTGTTGTTGGCTATTGGCAACGCCATGAATGTGGGAAGGAAACGCGCTGTTGCTTATGGTTTTAGATTGTCTACGTTGTCTAGGGTAAGTTCGGGGATTTAAAGTTATACGTGGTTACGAACTGACGTTTTACTGTTATTTATAAGGCTTTTTTGGCAAGATGGTACCATTTAATTCATAAAAATCATTTTAAATCATCTTTTTTAGTTGACAGTCCAAAAGTCTCACAAAGACTCGGACATTACCATCCTCCACGCCCTTGTTGACGCTGTTCAGAACGTTCGACCAGAATGCATGGACTTCAGCAAAGAATTGGCATTTGTGGACACGGCTTCTGCTGTCAGTTTGAGCAGTTTGGAAATGATGTGCCGAGAAGCCCAGCAATCTTTCAAAATCGCCGAAAATGAAATGCAACGTGAGAATCCACCAGAAGCACTTGATGCGTTCGTAGCAGAAGCCAAACCTCGAGTCGACGGCCTAGCGTCAGCGCTGGACTTGGCTAAGAAAGAATTCACCCGATGTGCTCAACTGTTTGGCGAAGACCCCAAAACCCAATCGCCAGAAGAGTTCTTCGCTTTGATAAACACCTTTGCAAAGAACTTTGACAATGCGGCCGACCAATTGAAGAAGAAACGTCACACTCAAGAAGAACAGAAGCCCAAAGCCATCGTTATTCAAAGGAAACCACAACAGAACGGCGATGAGAGGAAGGATAATGGCGTCATGAAGGAACTACAGAACAGATTCGCTAACAGACAGTCGAACAAGGTCCAGTCCAGCCAGATCGAGGACGGGGATCTGGAGAGAATAATGAATGGTAGGTTTTTGATTTTTTTGGTCAAAAAGTAGATAGAAAAGTGGAAAAAAGATTTTTATATAAGATCTAAAAATGTGCAGAAGTTATTTGAACTTGTTGATAATGATAAATTAAAAATTAAATTCCACATTTTCAGGCTTGAAAGACGGATACGTTGCCTCGGGCAAAAGCTCCGCAGGCCCCATCCGTCGTGCTGTCCGACCAACGCCACGCCAAAGCGCTCCCTCGAATGGCACATCCGAGCCGTTCCGCCAGGTTTGCCGTGATCGACAGGCTTAACTCACCTTGTTATGTCTACTTGTATATAAATTTGACTAAACTCTGACGTCTCCGTTCTTCACATTATGTTTTCATCGAAAAATAATTTTAGGTTACTGTAAATCGCATGTCAATAACCATACCTTGCATTCCCACAACGAATCATTGAATATCTTTGTCCCGAATATCTTGTCACATTATGAACAATTTTCCTAATTTTGCCTTTAAATAAGAATTTTTGGTTATCTTACTAGTAAAATTAGGTTTTTTGAGTAATCTTGTCTATCATAAGGTACTCTTCAAACTTTTTTAATATTAAAGTACGACTTATTGCTAAGGCTGTTATTGTAAGGACGAGCTAATTTCCGGTGATTACACCTCAGCCTGTTATGTCCTCTTTCATTCTTACCTACGCATTTTGCCCATTCGACTGTTATGTACAAACTTGTTCATCGTTAAAGTATATATGTCTTCCCAAACCACCAGCAATCTCGGGTCTTTTAAAGAAACGGAAATTTCAAACTTTTAATAATTCAATAAATATATGTAACGTTTACTGTGTAGCCGTATTTGTTTTACAATAGCAAGATTTAGAGGACCAATGTAGTTTCTTTGATTATGCTAAGAATTCGATTGTAAAATCAATGTAACAATTGTTGTGGGATAGAATGTCAAATATATAAAACCCAACAACACCTGAATTCTCCGAAACATTTTTAGGGTAATTCACCTGTTAAAATGCATATCCTTATCCGTAGTCGGTCACATTTGAGTCACCGAGCTACGCATTTTGAATTTCATACTGTATTCGAATTATCTACTGAAGCTTTTAAAAATTGCTGGCTTTACACATAAGTAATTATTGTTACCTTGTTTTTAATTTCTAAATATTTCTTACTCTATTTGTTATATTGCAAGCTTTACATAACAGTAATACAGTAAAAAATGATTGAATACAACATTACAATCGACTACTATGACATTGAGCTCATACCGCAGCAAGTCAAAAATGCCATGGTTATTTATGCGTGGTTTGTAGAAGTTATCAACTCCATTATTTATCTTATACTACTAAAGGTTGTCATTACATACTCGACAAAAGAGATAGGCGATTACAAATGGTACATTATAGCCGATCAAACATTTTGTGTAGCTACGTTCATGGTAAAAGCCATGATCGAAGATGAACCATTGTTTCCGTACGATGTCTCGGTTCTTGGCGGCATTGCGACTTTGGCACCTGTAGGTTAAGTCATCTTCTTAAGGTTTATTTTTCAATTTTTGCTATAACTTTTCAAATTCAATTATTGTAAATAAATACATGAATATTCCAGAACAACACAGTAGTAGTGCGCTTCTTCTACGCCATGTTCCACGTATTCTTTGTCAGTCATTTCTGTTTTGTCACTTTGATGTTCTTGTTTCGATACGCTCAAACAACCAATAAAAGTCGACTGTTGGCCATAATGTCAAATAAAATGATATGGTTTTGCTTCTACATACCGAGCTTTATTGTAATTTGTTTGTTATGCCACATAGATGCATTATATAGTTTGCCTGACATTGATATGTATATCAAAGAGTTTGGCAACTCAAACCCTATGATAGCTGAGTATATCAAAGGAAAAGCGTTACTGGTGGAAGTTGTAAGTTTAATTTTTTTCAGAACAACATAGCTTATTTACTTATCCTAATTTTTTGTACAGTAAACAATACTATAACAAAACGCAGCAAATACCATCAATTACCATCCCATTTAGAGCACCTGGTACAACAACTACGAGCGATGTCTTCCAACCCTGACAGGACTGATAATCTGCGCCTTTTCGACCTACGGTTGCTACAGTTTCAAGAATGATCAAAACGACTCTTTAAGCGACCGTACCCGCGCCCTATACCGTAAACTCATCAACGCCCTGCTAATCGAAATGGCAGTGATAGCTTTTGCTGTGGTGACGCCAGTTTTTATTTGTCAAGCTCTGATTGGAGTTAGATATCGACCGATTGGGACTGCTTTAATGTGGAGATGGTTAACATTGTACCCTACGTTCACTATGACCTTCACCATGTCATATATTGGGTGTTACCGAAGAGGGTTGAGGAAATGGCTATTAAAGTCAATATTTGGGATGGAGGAGAAGAATGGCATTATTGTGAAACAGAATCCCTCAACTTTTGTTTCCGCTTCGAGTTCTGGGCCGCCTTGAAGTTAGTTTTGATGTCCAAGGTTATGCAAGAAAACATATTTTACTTTTACTACGTTAGATAACAAAATGTTAAAAAATAAAAAATAGTGGTAGTTAGACATGCTGTACAGGTGGATTCTTCCTAACATAATATGTTGTTTTGCGATGACAAAGTAATGACTCAACAGCTGAATCTACTATATGTTTAAAACTTTCCACCTGTAACTATACTGTTTCTAACATTTGAGTTTAAAGTTGAGATTTAGTAATCTAGACAGCAATTTCTACACAAAGATATATTAACCTAAAACTTAGCCCTTACATTAGTCTATCAGTCCTCTATATTGACCTAGTATCATCTCAATAAACCCTTCTAAACTCTCTACTACACAACCATGATTACCTACAACATAACAATCGACCACTATGACATAGAAGCCATACCACAGTCGGTCAAAAATGCCATGGTAATTTACGCTTGGTTTGTAGAAGTTATCAACGCTATTGTGTATCTTGTTATGCTCAAGGTCGTACTCAAATACTCGACCAAAGAAATCGGAGCTTACAAGTGGTATATTGTAGGTAATCAAACGTTTTGTGCGGCTACATTCATGGTGAAAGCGATGGCTGAAGATGAACCATTGTTTCCATATGATGTTACTGTTCTTGGCGGAGTGGCGTATATTGTGCCGGTAAGATTTGTAGTATTATATTAGGTTGTTCAAATAGTTATATGTCCCCTATAAAAGCAAATTTTCGGAATTAGAGAGCACAGAATTATTTGAACAACCTAATATATTAATTGTAAAGGAAAAACACAAGAGCTAATCTTCATTTCGGCTCTTTGTATAGTCAGAAATACTACTAATTCAACTTAATATAGCTAACTTCAGCGAGCTTTACAGCTTTCTCCCTTTAAAATCTATGTTTTTCTCTAAAATTCAAAAATCTGCATATAAATTTTAAAAAATGTTACCATTTCAGACTAGCACCACATTTCTTCGCATCTTCTACGCTGTGTTCCACATATTTTTTGTCAGTCATTTTTGTTTTGTCACCTTAATGTTCCTCTTTCGCTTCGCTCAAACCACGAACAAACAGAAGATGATCAAAATAATGTCAAATAGAAAACTACTGCTCTATGTCTACGTTCCTGGCTTTATCTGTATCTGCTTCTTATGCTATGTTGATGCTTTATATAGTCTACCTGACATTGATATGTATCTTCAAGTATTTGGAAACTCAAACCCTATGATTGCTGACTATATTAAAGGAAAGCCGCTGCTGGTTGAAGTTGTAAGTTTTTATATTTATCAACCTAATATTATCACTAAGGTACTGATAATTTCAGTAAATCATGTTTGTAAGCTGTAGAACCAAAAAATTATTGGAATACCCCCCCCAGTGAAAACCTTTAAATCCAATATCGAACCACCTTTGCAGAGCACCTGGTACAACAACTACGAAAGGTTCATCCCCACCCTAATAGGCTTTTTCATCTGTTCATTTTCAACCTACGGCTGTTACAGTTTTCAAAGCCAGCGAAGTAACACTTTTGGTGACCGTACTCGCGCCCTCTACCGTACTCTCATCAACGCATTACTAATCGAAATGGCAGTAATAGCCCTTGCTGTCGTTTTGCCAGTCTTTATCTGTCAAGTCCTGATTGGAGTCAAATATCGACCAATTGGAACGGCTTTAATGTGGAGATGGTTGTCATTATACCCAATATTCTCCATGTCTTTCACCATGACCTATATCGGATGTTACAGAAGGGGCTTTCGGCAAATGATGCTGAAGAGTATCTTTGGAATGGAGGAGAAGAATGGCGTTATTGTGCAACAGAAACCTTCGACTTACGTCTCAGCCGCTAATTCTGCTCCTTCTTGAAAGTATTAAATTTTTTAAATTCCTATTAAATCTTTCTATCAATCTATCATTGTTTTGGTAATAACTCAAACCCTAAAGTATCAAAGTACTTTCTCGACTTCATAATTAAGTTTATGAACATGAATCTTAATGATATTGTCTTAAGAGTTACGAGCAATATAGTGAAGATCGAGCAAAACAATATTAACAATTTACAAGTCAAGAACTTACAGCTTGACCTTTAAAAACAGTAAAGACAATAAATAACAAACATTACTTTTATATGGTCAAGTTATTTAAAATTCAATACGACCCATTCCATAAAGGCTCAAATTATCCTTAATACAAGAAAAAACAACATAATTTTTTAAAAGTTTTCATAGACGCAGTAAATTTTACAAAACTTTATAACAACAAGTTCAAACCATAACTTACAGTAGAGTATTCAGACAGCAGTTGGGTAATAGATACGATGAGACCGTTTCTCCACGACCGGTAGATATTGCCATAGTTGTGATGAGTCCAAAGCGTGTTCTTTTTGTTCGCTAGTCCAGTCTTTTTGTAGCGCTTCTCTTCGTGTTTGTTCTCTCAGAATGTAGTTCCATCCCAATTGACTGTAAAAGCGAGAATCTATCGTACGTAGAAGAACACCATCAACTCGAAGATAGAAGCGACAAACTATGAAGAAGTTTGTTGTCATTACTCGTACTCGAACTGTCATCTGCAACAAATTTAAACTTTAAAAAGCAAAAAGAATATAGTGAAGGTTAACAATATTATCCTTTTAAAACATTAAACACTTCTAATATTAATATTCCTTGTTACATCAATTTACTTTACCACATTTACCACTATAGTAACCTTATCTTACACCTAAAGGTATAAAAATACTAATTATATTTAAAAAATACCTCAGTAGACCCGTTATCGTCCATTTCGTCTTCATATAGTGGTATAGTTTCGATAAATTCAATTGGATCTGGTCGTTTTAACACTTCAAGATCAATTGAATCTGTACATTCTTCTACTCTAATATTATCCGAAATCGTTCCACCATAATCTGATGTAAAAGTCCAATCATACGCTTTGGGGATCGGTGGTAAATTGCTTCGTGCCCTTTGCCATGCTTCGCTGGTTCCAACCTAAAATAAAGTTTTTAAAACTAGTATAACAACAAAAAAATTATCAAAAAATTTTTGTTAAATATTAAAAACATTAAAATAGATTTTCAGCTACGTTTCAAGCAATAACCTGCCATTTTAATAGCTAATTTAACAAAAAACACCAAACTGTTATACCTAAAATTAAAAAAACACAAAAACTATGATCTTACCTTAACTTCTGGCAAATGTTTAGCATCAACACACTTCAAAGCATCTAAAGAATTGAATTCCAACAACAATTCTCCATTATACAAAAGTCGGAGAATGTTTGAAGCATAAATCATATCAGGTATATTGGGCAATTTCAATTCTTTCTCGTATTTACAAATCTAAACATAAAACAATATAAAACCAAATTGGAAACTCACTAGACAGTCTTCTGATTCCATAGGATCATGTTGACAAACAGTTGGAAGGATATGATCAGTACGAGATTCAAAACGAACCAAGCCTTTGAATAAGAAGGTTTTCTAAAAGCAGAAATTGGCATAACTTTTAATATAACTCACGTCATGTCGGTGACTGCGTAACGCTCTGTTCAATATATCTTGTCCAAGCTGTTTTTTGTTCGATTTTACTGTCGTTGGAACAGCGAAGTTGGCCATTTTAGCAGTGAGAAGCCGTAAAAATTATTAAAAAAATGCAAAATAATTTTCTGGAGAAACACATGACACGCGTTTTACTGCCTGTCAAAACTTTCTTTACTTGTATATTTTGGCTTATTATTGTATTGTAGGCATCATCGACTTCTATATTGTCAAAAAATAGTGATTTTTATACCTGTTTATTTTTTAAATTTGTTATTGGCAAATTTTGACTTGCATGCTGTATATTTTATATCAAGTTTCTTTGTACCTATCTTTGGATTATGTTAACATGCGTTCTAAATTTTTGTGAATAAATTGTTGGTTATAGTTAGTAAAATGTACTTATCAAACTTTTACAGTGTGAGTCAAAGTTTTGTGCACTTACCTTACACTTGAAAGTACATATTTATATGTTTCAAGTAAAGGCATTTGTATTATTGGTGGATGTCAACGTATTCAATGTAAAATATAGTAATCTTACCTAAAGAACACAGATACAGTAAGTTCTTATTGATAGTTTTAATTAAGTACAGTAATCTTTAAGTAAGTACGGTAAGCTTCAATAGAATGCCTTTGTGTAGATGATCATTGTTATAATTTTAATCTTTGCAAAAGCTGTAAATCTCTGCAGAATTGTTGTTACTCATAAAATGACATTTAAAGAGGCATGTGCAAGGTTTGTAGGTAAAGCTGTAATAGTTATAGTACTATTCGGATCTTATTGAGCTTTACAACCGAAGAGGATAGGGGTGAGTAGAGAGGGTAGCAATTGCGTGTTTTTTGTAATGTCAACGGTTTTCTTATAGAGATATCCTTTAGTGTTCACCTACGTACCTTGGGCTGGAAGTGTGGGGTATACGGGTGTGAGATTACGGTAGTTTTCACTATATAGAGAGAGGAATATATGGGTGAGTATAGTGCAATAAAGAGAAAGAAGAACTTTTAAAATTTTTTAGGTATGAGAAACGAACCAAGTCCAGTTTGAAGCCTGGCCTAGATCTGGGGTCTAAATTTTAGGCTCAGCTAATTCAAAGTTTAGCTCAATCCCGTACCGGGCCTACACGTCTCGTTTTACTCCTACCTCTCCTCTTTATCTATACCTCCTTATAATTCTTGATGAACCAGCTTGCTTGAAGGATACTGTACATAATACTTTAATTTATAAGGAAAAACACTTTTATGTCAAAACATGTTATTGTCAGACTGTTTCACCGTGCCATAACTGTTCTTGAAACTCGGCCGTAAGTCGTATTATACTTGTCTGCATCTTGTAATCGTATTTTGTTTTAATTTTTACATTTTTGTTAATTGCTTTTTTACGTTTACAATGTTACAACCAGTTTTTAATTCAAAACATTGTACGGTTTTTATGTCTTCGAACGTTTTAAGTACTGTAACTGTAAATAGAGAACAATCAATTTGCGATTTTACGGTAGAGTCAATTTGTAAATAGAAATATTTTTTTTGGTTTTTGAGACTTCACAGTATCATTTGCTGAAAAAACTTTTGGTTTTTGATAAATTTAATGTTATTAGAGAAGTCTGTTATACAGAAATTTAAGAGTACTGTACTTTTATTGTTATTTTAAAATTTTATGGTGCCATGCATTTTATTCGAACTTTTCTGTTGATATTGACATTGAGAGCTTAATAGAGTTATACGACCTTGTGTATACGCGTTTAATTTATATTTACGTAAATACCTTTTTTAAAACTAGTAAACATTGCACTTAACATAGTAAATATCAACATATCAAAATATTTGATTTCTTGTTGTTATTAACGTTAAAAGTGCAAAATATAGTCTTATAAACTATAGTAAAATATATTTTTTGTTGATATTGAAGGCTATTTTTTACGTTTTTTGAGTACAGTACAGTAGTACATAGTACAGTAGATTAGCAGGCGTTTGGTTTTGATTAATGTAAGTTTTAAAAAATTATTATCTTTTTCAAGATATATAACTTGAGACGTATGAGGGGTGGTGAAGATCTAGTGAATACAAAGGCGCCTGGGTATGGCAAAGCGGTCGATTGAACATGAGTCCAGTGGTTGATCGGTTGACTCTGCAACCGACTGATCCACAACCTAATTTTGCAAAAGTGTCATCTTTTTTGACACATACCAGACATTAATATGAACATTATGTTGAAAACCTTGCGTAAACCATGTAAATAGGTAGTAGGAAGTTGTCTGTTGTTTACATTATTTTAACATCTCGGTTTAGCAGACGTGGTGTGGTGTAGGATAATACGATAATTGACAAAATCGCGGCCAAAAACAGATTATGTTTGAAAACAGGCTGAGGTTAAGTCGTTTTACAATGTTGTTTTCTTGTTTATCAAATGCCAACGACCATGTTTTACGCAACTTGAGCCTGAGAGAGTACGTGGTACGGTGTTTACGAGGATCGGCACTTGTTATGATATCTTTAGGAGTGTCTAAGACTTGTTTTGCTATTTTTACTATGGTTGCAAGGTGATATGTTAGCTTAGATAATGTTGAAATTTGTTGTTTTAGACTGTTTTGGTGTGTTCGGCTTAAAATTTCAAATTTAGAGGTTATAATGCTTAAAAAGCATGTCATAGCTAGTCCGCTTAAAGGATAATATGGCATTTTGTTGCAGATGTTGGTTTGTTGTTGTATATGCGTAGGCAGTAAAATATGGTTGTATGTTTTATGTGTATTGTAATATGTTGTTGTATAGTTCAGTACATATATGGCATTATCTGCTAGAATCTGGCTGAATATGCTAACATACCATCATATATGCTATTGTAAAGTTAACTGATCATGGGTTTTTGTGTAGATTTTTGTACAAAGTAAACAACAAGTACCCTTTACATAGTAAACAACTGTCGGCACGTCTAAAGACGTCATAGGGATACCGTAACTTTAAAGTTTGTCAATTTTACAGTGTAAACTTTTATTTTTTTGCAGTTTAAAATTATTGCCAAACTAATATTTTTAAATTGCATTAACGAATCTTATCGTATACAGCATAGTTTACAAAATGTTGTGAGCACAGTTTAAAGTATAATGTAACAGTAATTAAAACAACAAAAAAGGGCAAGAAGTTTTGCAATAAATACTACAATATGTCCTAATTATGCTGTAAAGTTTGGTGCATTACATTTAGTATAGTTTATGTTTGGGCATTGTAATGTAAGAAATTACCGTGAATTTGTGAGGAAACATTGTAGTTGGATGTGTGGCAATTTTAGTGTAGGGGATTTTGAAAACTAGGTACGAATTTGAAGGTTTATGTTATAATTTTTAAGGAAGATACACCACTATATTTCTAAAGCAGCTGGTTTTGGCCTAAGGAGGGGTACCACATTTTAACTTTAAATTTTTTTTTGAAATTGAATTTAAAAAAAAAAATTTAGTTGCAAAGCAATATGTTGTAAAATACGTCTTTTATTTTTTATGACTATTTAACTCCCCAACTTAGCTACAGTACTCTTAATATTATATTTACGCATGGCATGACTCTCAATCAACATAACACTAATTACAGCCTTCAAGTTTTTATTTTTAGTAGGTATAGTCTAAGTTTTGTGTAATTGAACGTTTTGAACGTAGGTCATCTCAATCTACGTAGATATCTAAACTGTTCAACTTTATTTTTAAGATTACAAGTTTGATAGATGTTCACTGATTAGATTTTACGCAAAAGGAAGTTGAGGAATATACGTATAACTAAACCCAAATTAAAGTGTTAATTGATAGGGTTTTAATTTAAAACTTTTAAAGGTAACTAAGTGGTTTCTAGTTTTTTTGTAAATACAGTCAACGTTAGGAGAGTAATTTTGGTATAAAAAGATAGGAGCTAAAAATTAAAGTTTTTTTTTGTTAACAGGAGGATGTTTCTGTTGCTCTCTTTACCTTATAGTAGAGAGTAAATTTAAAAGTAAAGTACTTAACTACAGCTCTTAAATTAGTTTCAATATTTAAATAATTTTTTTAGTACCAGTAGAACAAAATCTTTTTAGTAACAGTAGAACGTATGAAACATCTTAGTTTGCGGTTTTAAATTTTAAAAATTAACTGCTTGAATTTACCGCTAAACAATGCTAAATTTGGCATTGTGTTGCAATACACTGCTTATCCCAGGATATTATGTCAATTTTGCCACTCTTTTTTTTAACTTTTTTTACACTTTTATATCTGTAGTTTGTAAACCATTAGCTGAAACTATTAAGTGGCTTAGGCTTTAAAAAAATACGTTAAAATTACAGATTTGACGCTGTCATCAGGCCTTGGACCATAATTGCCATAATTACCTTGCAATGTTTCGTTGTAGGTTGCAAAAAAAATCTTATTTTAGGTCCAAATGCCTAGTTGGAGAGGATGGGTTACTTTTACAGCACGATAAGTAAGTATGACTAATTGGGAAGTAACTTTATTTTTCGAAAGAATACGTGACATTTCAGAATATTGTAGTAACGTAGTAATTAATCGTATTTATATACTTTTATTGGCATGTTTCATTATTGTGAAAGTAAAAGTACAATAGAGGTTTGCTGTAAAGAGTTGACAAAAAAGTACTATTACAAAGCCCTTAGGAACATGTACAGTAATCCCTCCTAAAATAACTGAAACTGATCTTTCTTGATAAGAACTATTGTAGTACATGTTGGAACACGTGTGGTTAAGCCGGAAACAGCGGGTAATGTTCGTGATGACGCCGTTGGGTGGATAATCCACTAAATGTTTCTATTACCGTTTTGCTTGGAAACATGCATTATTTGATGACAATTAACATTACGAAAATGTCTAGTCCGAATTTGCTTAAAATATTTTTGACGCAATTGGCACTTCGAATAACAAAAACTTTCTTTACAAAAAAGATTTTTGATGTGGTGACATTTTAAATGACAATATAGGCTTTGTAGAGCCTTGTAAAAGCTTTCGTTGGCCACATATGTGATGTTTGATAATATATTAGGAAAGGCGGTGTTAAAAATTTATTAAATTTTGTTACAGTAATCTTTTGCTTGAAAATAAAAATTAAAA